ACTAGGCAGGGAGATATATTTTGACTGTGAATGTGAAGTTTAATAGGCAGTGGCCACCTCAGGGCTTTTTCCCCTAGCCACAGGGTTTGAGCTGTCCTCACAGAAAATCTCTGACCGTGAGCTCTGTTTTTAAACTTCTTTTCTGAAGACAAAGTAATGCAGTTTGTTGATCCATGAATGCAGAGCATTTGGTCTGCAATTTATAATTTGTTGTCTTCTCTCTCCAAAATCATAAGGACCAAAGAAATCTGAATGGGGAACTATTTTATGGTTCATCTGTTCTCACGGTTTATTTTTTTCCCACAGTGATCCAGAGCTGCCCACTGTGTCAGTACCTCTTACAGTGCAAGCACCACTTGCCCTCACTGAACACCATTCAGGAACTGGCTTCTGCAGCCTTGTCACAGTGGTTTCCATTTATTATCACATAAGATTTGGTTCAGCTGGGCAGAGTCGTTTATTACTCTTGTTTGTCCTCTCTCTGTTTTGTCTACCTGCTGTGCAGGACTGTGTGTTCAGTGTTGGGTTTCTTGTGCCTTCTTTTCAGGGGTTTGGGTATCCTGTAACTGTTTGGCAGTCTGTCTGCAGGCCACCAGTGGCGCACAGGCACTGAATAGAGGAGCACTGTGCAACATCTCTTACTAAAGCAAATCCCAAGCATGAAGATTTCCGCCAATTCTCACTGCCAGAAAACTTTTTTGCCTCAGCCAGTATTTAGTCTGCATCTTCCCCTTCTTCACATCCCATTGCTCCTGTCCCTGTTGTTGAACTTCATCCAGAATAATCCCCTCCTTGGCACCAAAACCGTGGTTTGAGTACTCTTTCACCTCTCTCTTGTTGGTTAGCTGTGTTACTCATCCTGTAAACTGGACTTCATCAGTCATGTTTTCCACTTTGATAAGAACGTTGTTGCTCCATGGGAATGGATCAGTGTTCTGACAAGGCTCACCTGAGACATGCCAGAGCTGACTGCCCTGATGCTGTACGGGGGCAGGCGATGGCTGCCTGAACCCGCAGCCTGTTAGTGCCAGCTCCCCTGCTGTCCGTGAGCACGATCCCAGCCCTGATCTCTGTTCAAGGGTGAAGGAGGGATAAAGTGTAGGTAGCGGTAGAAGAACGGAAATGACAGCTGAAAAAAAGACCAGCATAGAGAAGAAATGGGTATGGGGAAGAGAAAAAAATGCAGAAAGTAAGAAGAGACGAGAAGGAGCTCCCTATGAGATCAGATAATCTTGAATAAAAGGGAGAGTAATTTAAGGAAAATATAAAAAGCAGACACCACAAATTTTGTGCCAAGGCATACAATAAAAATGAGGACAAAGACGGGGGAGGAACACAGTGACGGCGTTTTGACTTTTAGATTTAATTATGATGTGTTTTTTATAACAACAAAAACGCTACTGATGCTTTTGGAAGTTGTCTGAAGTGACAGCTGAACCCTCTTCTGATCTGAAGAGTCTTTCCTTGTTGCTGTTAAGTTGGCAGTGCTGGACCTGACATGGTCCACCTGGCATCCTGGCCATATTTCAAAGGCAGGTCTCTGAGAGACCACCAGGCACTTAAAAGAAAGAAATACTACTCTCTAAGTGTGCCCTATAAAATGTGCAGCCTCTTATAATTATGGGTATCTGTTCATGTGGTTCAGTGTGTGTACCAAAAGCAAGGCAGGAAAGCATAGAAATTGCATTTGGAATAATCTCTTGGGAGCTGAGGGCACTTGTGCATAGCCAAGGATGGAAGATGAGGTAGAGTCTTTTCCAAACTTCCTGTTTTACAAGTCTCTTCCAGTCAGCAGCATCCCAACGCACAGCTCGGAGCTGAGTGCTGGTGGTAGAAGAGTGACAGCGTTGGCTCCTTGTGTGGGTTCCGGGCTGTATCAGGTCTGTGTCCTGACACACACACAGAGTTACTTCTGCTGGCATTGCACGGCTAATGCAGCTCCATGGGAGGCATGCCATAGCTGTGGCCTCATACTTTAGTAGTTCTCAGACTGCTTTTACATCAGAGTGCTTCATCCTCACCAGAACTCTCTGATGAAAATGAGACTATTGCTTGGTTTTAGGCTGGAGAGTTAGGTTATAGTGTCAATAGGAAGGGTCAGCAGTGGGGCCAGACTCATGTCGCCCATTCTCATCTACGGACTGTTATGTTTATTTGTTTGTATATTTGTTGTTGTCCTTTTTGGCAATGGTTTCCCGTGGTGACTGGTCACTATCGATTTGCGAAGAAGCAGTAACAATGGCCAAGGGTCCAGTGCCTGACCACAACTCAGTAAGATCCTGCTAAAGCGGTTTAACTCAGCGGGAGGGGAGGGAAGGGGAGGGTTTGGTGTCCCACTGGAAGTTCGCTTGCACTTTGTGGATTGTATGGTGGTGTTCCACACTGATGTAAAGCAGTATTGAGATTGACGCCCAACCACTGAATTAGGTCTATCCTGGACCTCAGTGCAGAACAGGTGTGCGGAGACTGCTGTCACTGATAGCAGGAGCTTGGTGATGAGAGAAAGCTTCAGCACGTGTTTGCCACCCTGGGAAGGAGAGGATCATCACTGGCAGCTGGAGGACTTTTTTTTAAACCTACAGCTACCTTCAGAATTGCAGTGTGTACAATTAAACTCAGAGCAGCTGTAGACCATACTGAAATCTTGTGTGGAGCAAGGGTTAGTTTGTCCTCGGGTCTGGCAGTGAATGGTCTGGTTGAGAGGCTTCGGTGGGCTAGAATTACTTTCTTGGTGGAGAAAATGCCAGTGCTGTGCAAAGTCAGCAGGAGCACTTTGAGATGCTGAGAGTCTTCTCTGCTAATTTTTGTTGATCCAGGTGGTGTTTTCTAAGTACAAAGAAATTACTGTTTGCCCCTTCTTTTATCTCCCCATGCAAGTGGCATGTATCCTCCCTGTCTCCCATTCCTGTTTGCATGGGAGAGAAACAGAGGGAAGTGAGATGGAACCATCCGTCCCCTTGCATCTGCACTCTGAAGGCAAAGTTATTTGTGAGCCTTAAGCATGTGGGTGGGAGGGCTGCCAAGCCAAAGTTGTTCCCGACTATCTGTAAACTAAATCTGATTCCTTAAATTCATCCAACTAAGGAACTTTCGCTCTGGCAAAAGCTTGTAAATATTACAGTACCTGTCACTTTTGGATGCCACTTTCTGTTTTCATAGCAGCAAACTGAAAGCTTTGAAGTCTGCGATGTTTTGTTTAACTTTGTAGAGGTTGACCTCAAAGCATCAATCTTTCTGCTCTTTTTAGGATGCATGAAAATAGTCTTTTCTTTTCGCAGAAAACTTTTTGTAGCAACAGTATTGCTAATGGCCAGAGTTCTCAGATATTCTCGGAATGCTGAAGCGTGTACTGAGATATGTATACCAAAATAGAGAGCGTTTTGTGTCTCTCTTATTTTCGGTGATTCGATTTTCTCTTCTGTGTGAGGGAACACACATGAACGTATACTTACAATGAAGCAAAAAGCATTAATTTAAAGTGGTTTCTGAATGCATGGCTCTTGTTGCATTGTGTAGTTCCATGCTGATGTAAAACGGTATAGTTCGTTTTGCTGGGGTTTTAGTTTACACGACTTTTCAGTTTCTGTACCATCTGCACAGCATAGCCTCCACCTGTTTGGCTTCTCTGTGCTCTCTGGGATATATGTGGATAGTAACAACAGTCACATTTTGCTTATTTTTAAGACAAGTTGCTGGTTGATACAAATCTGTGACTTGAGTTTGCCTGATACAGTTGCTTCCATCATTTATGCTGGTCTCCTGTTGCTGCTTGGAGGAAGGTGTCATGCTGTTTTTCTTGAAACAAGTCTTAGAAGTGAGTTTTGGCAGGCCCATTCTGAATTGCAGTTCGGTACTGCGCAGCTAACTCAAATTGTAACTCATTTGTGACTCCAAAGTTAACCTGGCCATAGCTAGAACTCCATGGAGGCAGTACTTTTAAAACTGTGCTCACTGAGGAGTTAGGTTGGATAGCTGCTTACTTGGGTGATATTCTTGTTTTGACTTTGTCAATGTGTCCACAGCTTTTGTCTGAAAGCCTTTGGGCCCACTGACCTGTCCCAGAACAGTGGCTGAAGCCAAGGTTCTCTTTGCACTGGAAATTGCAAGCCAGTCTTCTCGAGCAGTGGAAATCCGTGCTCAAGTACTTTGAGTCCTACAGTGCTTTCCCCCTTTACTGCTGCATTCCTAGGGGAACCAAAGTTCTCCAACAGTGAACAGGACGTGAATCCTAGAGTAGTTCAACCTCCTGAGTCACTAAGAGGGCTGGCGTTTGACTCCAGCCTTCCTGCAACCCTGTGTGAACAAGCACAATGTCGGCAGAAACACCCTGGAGCAGACTGACTGTGTTAAATTTTACCGTGGTTTCTGTGGTCTTTTCTCTGTAACCGAAGTCCACTGAGCAGTCTTGTCAAGGTGTCTCAGTGGTGCTCCAACGGGCTTTGCCAGACTGAATGAGCACTGCTTTCGTGTGGCAGAGAGGCACCGATGGACAGTGGGTGTGTTACATGGCTGGCACCTTGACTAAAGTAAATCTACACTGGAATCTGCCACCTGAGGGGCCCTACAGTAATGATGGCTTTGTGAGACTGCCACACTGCAGCCACACTTGCTGACTGATTTACAGATTTTTGTAAAATGCTTTAGGAAATTGTGCTTGAAGGCATAACATTAAGAGCTAAGATCCCAATTGCTTTCCACCTCACTGGCTAGGTCTTCTGCAGCTACATATTCCTAAGCAGGTGATCTTTTTTGCTGCCTAACTGTGAAAATATGGGCTTTATCTTTCCATTCAGATTACCTGAAAATTGGGCCTTTCGTTTTCTGAAATGTTTCCAGAAAAGCAAATTCAGGCCTGGCTGATAGTCTTTCCAGTGCTTTAATATCAGCAGTTAAAGTAAAGCTGACTGTCAAGAAGTAGTTAGTATGGAGACAGCTGGTAATGACGAAACTGAGAAGCTAAACCACTCGCCTCCATTTGGGTCTGTCTTTTTGTCTTGCAGATGAAAGGATCTGTTCACCACCCTTTATGGAGCTGACAAGTGCCTGTGGAGAAGATACCTTGCAGCTTATAGAGAAGAATGGACTGGCATTCCCATTCAGTATGTACATGAGCTTTTCCTTGGTGCTTGTAGTAGATTCTGAATATTGCACGTGCACCCCCAAGACACAGCCAACACTGCAGGAGCGTGTGTTTCATTGCCAAAGTGCCAGGGATGTTAAAACCTTCCTGAAACAAATGCTCTGAAGCAGTCTGCTTGGAATGTGGAGCAAAACCCCTCCTGTCAGGTTTTATTTTGCTTTTTATTATGTTCCTTACTTAGAACATCTTGCTACAGTAAAGATGCGTTCCTGGGAAATGCTAATAGTTCTAACAAACTTTGCCTCTTGCCCTAAACTTGCGCAGGAAGTTTCTTATGCCAGCTGTGTTCATTATTTTTCTGGAGAATATCACTGCCTTGCTGACTGCCACGTTTTTCACCCAACCCTCCCTTCCCCTGGTCCAGGCTACAAATATAATCTTAGAGGGTAGAAGAAAAAGTGTAAAAATGACTGTAGCTAGCAGTTTCCAAGGGCCCACAGCCTCAAACAGCTGCTATGAACTGTTAGTGCTTTGTAGCGAGTTTCGCTGGGGGGCTTGTGCTTTAATTCGTTCCTTTATTTGATTCCTTGCAGTGTAAAGTGAGCAGAATTGGTTAGTCGGTGTTTGTTCCCTTGGTGCTTGCCTCACTTGTAAAGTTCAGAGGTAAAGTCATGTGGAAAAAGCATGTTCTTCCCTCCCTGCCATTGCTCTTCCAAACGTGGCAGGTCTCCTGAAGCTAGATTGTGAAGCAGTAATGTAAAGCCCACTGAATGGCTTTGACCCCCTTCCTGTATCTGTGAGACATCGTACACCACTTTCCAAAATTTCAAGTTATCAACTTATTTTGGACTCTGATGCAGGCTATCTGCCTTTCATAGCTGCCTGTCCTTTTGCCTGGCAGTTTGACTCTTCCAACAATCCCCAAAGAAGTTTTATTCTATCCACCCCCTCACTACTTGCAAGTTTTGCTCTCCTCTGCTTAACGTATAAATAAAATCAGCTCTAGTCATCATGTGGATCCCAGGGTCTTCAGCTCTTCTCTGGTGTCATAATAACAGGAGCATGTTGTTCCTTTTCTCTTACTGGTTTTACGATGGAGGTGAGAACCACGATATACAGAGCAGATAGGGAATATGAATGAGAAAGAACTGCTGGGCTCTTTCTACTTTTTTAATCCCCCTTTATGGTTGCCTGCGAAAAATATGTTGTATCTTAGTTTGGTTCAGCCCATTTGGTTTCCTCCTCTTCCCCAAAAACAGGGAGGTAGGAAGAGTTGGTTTCCACTGTGTCTCTTGTTTTCAGGACAGTGGTGTTTTGTGGTACCTGTAAAGTAGCTCCAGCCTCAGGCAAAATCACTTACTTGTGAAGATGCGCTCTGAGCAGGCAGGATGGCAATACCAGTACTGGTACTAACTTGTCAGCTGATGCTTTACACCTCTGTCCAGTCCTGATAGTGACCTCTGCTTGCACCTTGGTTACAGGGAGGAATTGAGAGAGTAGCGTGGAGCAAGCCAAGCTTTGCAGTGATTGAGGGCACTGTTCAAGCAAGAAGTGTCACTGGTATCTGGTACAGTCAGTGCCTTGGTCTGCATGTGTGGGTGGGAACAGATTTATAAGGGGTTTGTGTCCTGTTCGAGTAGTGCATCTTTTTTTCTTTTTTATTTATCCAGTTTGTAAAACCAGAGTGGCCCATGGAACCAACTCTCATGAGGTGAGTTAAAAACCTTTCAGTGTTACTCCTCTGCTTCCAGTCCCTCCATGGTGGTTGGGCTGGTGCCTTCCCAGTCCTGTAGTAGGCAGAATGAGGGCTGTGCCCAAACATCTTCCCTTCTACCGCCTCTCCCTTGCATGTAATTGCACTATTGTTTTTTCAGATTTATCTGAAATGAAGTTAAATATGACTTTAACCTCTTGGTATGGAAGTTCTTTCTAGCAGTTTCTAGCTTCTATCTTCTAGTTGCTTCTAGCAGTTTGTGGTCTCCAGTCAGCTCTGTCTGCAAGGAATCTCTTTCAGCTTCTCCTTTGGTGGGAGGTCACACTGAGTCAGGTTTCCAGCCCACCATTAGTCTCTTCCAGCGTGTATGCAGTGCAGGTGAGAAATGGTTTTGTGCTGAAGAAGAAGCAGAAGTAGGAGTGAAGGCCAGCTGGTTCCTCTCCTTGAGGGGAAGGGAATGGCAAACAGAGATGGTTTCTAGGCACGTTCAGTTGTAATAACACGGCTGGAGCTGTAGGAAGAACAGGGCTGGCAGAACTATCTGCTTTCCCTCCTTCCCGTAAGGCAGTTGCAGTTAAAATGATTCTGTATTCCTGGAAGGAGTGCATTCCCTATGAGCCTAGCTTCCTCTAAATTTAGGCGAGCTGAGTCCTGTTTTAATTCTTATCCATTTGTGCTTCCTGCCTTCCTGCTTAACCGCAGCTCAGTTTCGAGAATCCAGCACTTGCTGCTGGCTCTCTTAACGCCTGGCTTCCTTTGTTAACAACGTGGTTGTCGGTTCAGGTTTCCCAGCTGCTCCTGAAACGTGCGGTATGTTGCTGCAGCATCTCTGAGAGGTGAAAGCCTTGAAGTAAAATGTAAATCTGGATGAGCAGAATGCCTACACCTGAAATCTTGAGTGACCAGCGCTTTTACAGTGCATCTAGATTTTTCATGCAGGCCTTAGCTTGGATCATTTTACAAACATGACAGACAGTCCTGTTAGTTTGCTGGAGGAGCCGCTAGAAATTTTTGCTTATCGTTCGTGAGAACACTTGGGGACTGGGGTGTGAATTAATTTAAGACTCAGCTTCCCTATTAATTTTTCTGTAGAAGGTTCCTCTGTGACTGCAGCCTGAAATGCATGAACCTTTCAGTGCTTGTCCAGTCAGGCTTGGGCTTCATTTCCCTGCTGAATCTGTCTTTGCTCTTCTTTCATACACTGCAGACATACCTCAGGCTCCTTCCAGAATTCCATTTTCTGCGCAAAAATTAGAATAAAATACAATTGTAGGCTGCACTTTATCACAGGAACTTGTGAAGAGAACCTAGGAGGACCCCTGGAAAAAAGCCTGATGTTTTGCGTGGTACTTTACATAGTTAGTAGTAGTAGTCACTTTGGAGCTGCTGAGTTCTCAGGAGTGATCCAAAAGTGTATTTCTGTTCAGAAGGAAACTGTCTTGTAATTGCTATTTCATGGTCAATAATGACAAGGGAAGCGTAGAATAAATAGTCTGCTTACAGTGCAAACTGTCTAAAAGATGGAGCATAGGTCTAGAAACAAGAAATCATTGCCTGTTTTATTAATGACTCCTTCTTTGGCTTTTGATAAATCGCTTCATTTTCTGTAGAGACATTCCCACTGCAGAGCTGACACTGGAACTAGAACACAGCCTGACCAGAAACCTGCTTTTCTTCATAAGATGACTATTCACAAAGTTCAAGTACTGGCTAACATGGACAGCTGATGGTGCAGGCTTGAGTTTGGGTTTGGTGCCAGCCGAGGCTGGCAGACTCCACATTTTGTTGTGAAAACACAAGCTAGTGAAGCCAAGGTGCTGTTAGTTAGTTTTCTTGTGGTATCCCACAGTTCTGCTTGGCCTCCGTGCTAGAAGTCACATTGGCCAGCTCAGCACTTCAGCCCCACTTTGCCAGCACCATTTGTTAGACTTGAACAGGGATGATGCCTGAAGGTTGTCCTTCCTGGCTGCCAGCAGGTCAGAACAAAACTGACCTCTGGTAAAGCTGCCATGAGACATCACTGAGACCCATAACCTGAAGAAACGTATCCAGAATGACTCTCTTTCTGAGTGTCGAGTGGACAGGAATGACAAGGCAGAGCATCACTGTGTTTTTCAAGACTGAATTCCTTAAGGACATTGTCAGTAAAAATTCTTGGTGCCAAATGTTTTGTTTTGCCTTCAAAAGAGCTCTGCATTTATAATGAGAAATGCTATTTGGAAATTATGATACAAAGTATTGTTCCCATGTTACTGCCAGACGCGGCAGGTCTGTGCTAGATGACCAAGAGCAAGTGTACCCTGCAAGCGAATTCTTGGAGCTGTATTCATGCATGCTAAAAACCATGAGACATCGCAGTGAGCCAGCATAATGCAACACCATGGGAGTTATATGGGTTGTGTGCTAGTCCATGGGGCTGCTGGCACAGATCTTTGCAGAAGAGAAGTTTCACATGTTTTTCAGTAGCCTGGGTCAGTTCAGTGCCAAGAAGATAAACTCTCTGGGTTTCCACACTTCTAAAATAGGATGAGAAGTACCTCATCTCATGCTCATCTTGTGAAGGAGTGGTTTGTGGGGGATTAATTAACTGACATTTGAAGAGAACACGGTAGGAACAGCACTGTTCTTGCCAGTATGATGTTGTAGATACTGTAATGCCAAGTCTACACAGGAGGAGGAAGAGAGCAGTGTTTCTTGACATCAGTGAGAGACAAATGAGATATGATGTTGTTGTTGCTGTGAATCATCTTGATGGACGATTCTGCTGGTTAATGTAGGTTTCTTGCACAGGTTGTTACCGCTCACAAATTCACCCTGTGCTGTCAGATAGATAGCATCTGGTATAATAGAGACAGACAAAGAATATCAGCTGCAAGTAGGTACTGAATGCAGGCATTGACTTGAACTCAGAAAATGTTAACTGAGTCATTGTACATGCATGCAGACAATTATGTGATTTAATGTAGTCTACCAGATAAGGAGGAATAGGGACAAAAATGTGTTCAGACTTCTAACTATGAATATGTAATCACTACATCATTTACCACGGCTATGTTTTTGAATGACGAAACCTCTTATATTTACTATTTTTACTACAGGAACAAACTAAGAGGTTCGCAAAAACTCAATCTGAAAGTATAGTGTACATCAAATGAGCAGCTGATCATATATAATATATGAGAGAGAGCACACAGCGGTAAAGTTTCTTTGTAAGATCCTTCCAGTGACCCTGACTTCACTAAGATACAGCTAATCTCAAAAAGCACGAAAACTGGCAGGAAGCATATGGAAAGAGCGAGCAAGCGGTATAATTCGTCTGCACCATGCTGAGGCAGGAAGCCCTGGTTTTATTCTGTGTACTGCTGTGGAGTCACTGTGGGACCCACAGGAATTCTCTTAGCCTCCTTGGACTGTTTTGCATCCCAAGTAAAACACTAGGGCCAAGCAGGCCAGTGAGAAAATATTAACAGGCATAAGAAAAAATTTGTGTTTCAGAGCTTAGGAGCTTTTCTGGCAAGTGTTGTGCGTCCTGTACTGGCTGAAGTAGGTGGCAGGCTGAAGACTTGGATGGTTAGCTGTAGTCTTCAAGGCTCTTCGGAGGGGGAAGGTGCTCTAGCCAAAGCATCCCTGCCTGTGGGAGGGAGTTTTGCCCAGAGGAAAGGAAGATAAAACATGTGTCAGGTTCTCTGGCCTTGGACAGTCCTTACTCGTGTTCACCTGACTCCCAACATGTGCTTCTGCCACCGTGGAGAACAACGCCCAGCATCACTGGAGTGATGAAGAGAGGTCAATATTCAGATAACTAGAGCATAGGTTTTTCAGGGCTTTGAGGATGGAGAGCAAACCTAAGTTCATCCTCACTGCTGTGTAGGGGCACACTGGTATAAAGTAATTTCATCACCTGTGCCAGAATGGTGCTTGCTGCCGCTTCTGCGTAGGAGCCATGGCAGCATCTATACTCCATCAACAAACCTGCAAAATGGGGCACCGCAGCTATGATAATTATATCTGCATGTAAGCACAGTCATGGATGGATCGATGCAAAGAGCAGCGCAGCATGTTCTGAATATGTTCTGGCTCATCAAAGTACTTCTCTGCACCTACCAGCATCGCTTCTGTACTGTTTGAGGCAGCTGTTGTTTGTCATTCAGGCCCTATAAATTACTTCATTTTTGACATATTTGTTCCAGTCACTTGAAGAGGACTATCCATTTGGAGTAACAGGGTGAAACCAAGCCAGGAAAATCATTAGACTGGCATTTGCTAGCAGTAAGAACTACTAGAGTCTGAAAAAACTTCAGAAACCCTGGTGTTTAGGCCGTTGCAGTGGGACTGAACCAAACCACAGGAAGTAGAACTCTTACAGTTAGTACGTAGACCAGTTCCTTTTGCTGTTCCCATGAAACATGCTTGTATTCAGTACAAACTTTGTCATCTGTGTTGGTCAAATGTTTTACCCTTCTGCTGTACCTGCAGTAGCTTCCCAACTAAAAGCAGTAAATGAAGTTGCAATGAGCTGAGAAGAAAATGTTGGTTGAAAACGAAAGCTGCATTGCCAGTAGTGTTTGGAGAGTTGTGTGTCAGTGAAATGAAATGTAATGAAATAGGTCTAGCTACTGAGAAGGAATTCAAACGTGGTCAATATATATCCACCAGTAGATGTTCCCCCTCACTGCTAGTCGGGTGGATAAGTGAAATTATTGAAAGACTTGTGCACAACTCTGTGTGCATGTTTCCAGATGGCGATCATCTTCAACCAGGAGGGCCTGAAAGCTATCCGCCCCCCTTGCGTTATTCAGAGCTTCATCAACCACAATGCTGTGCTGTATAAAGTCTTCGTGGTCGGGGAATCCTACACGGTGGTGAAAAGACCATCTTTAAAGAACTTCTCTGCGGGAATCTCAGGTACGTTGTACTGATTTAAAAGGACATGTCAGTTCTCAGAGCCTTGGCAGCAAACAACTCAAAAGAAAAATACCTTTGAAAAGGCTGCCAGAGTGAGGGCAGCTGGTTCTTACATACTGTGTTTCCTCTGCTGTATTATTTCAATAGGAAGGGAGATAACTCATCTGCTCTAGAATACATATGAATGACATTCATATAGTAAATATTTACGCAACGATAACCTGAATCTTACCTGTTAGTGTTTTATGTCATGTGGAAAGGGGCAGAGGGAGAGAAATTCTCTGATTTCACAGTAAGGTCATGTGTCATTTGTTCCGGAGTTTGTTTATAAATGTGCCTTGGAGAGAATTTCCTGGATTCCATCGTTTCAGAGCTTCCTCTCCCTATTTTTACCTTGATTATGTATGTGTGTTTAAATTAAAGATGGCTTGTGTTCTCCGCTAAGCGAGCCTCTCTGTTCATGTGAGGCTCAGTGTTGTCAAGCTTGGTGGGAAGAGTCCTTTGGTTTGTAGATACCAGCTGTGTTGAGGGGAGGGAGGAGTGGATTTGTCAGCGAGGACAGTAATCCTCCTGTATGTCACGGAACAGCAGCACCTGAACGGTTTTCATTAAAGATCACTAAGATTTCCTTTATGGAAAAAAAGCTGGTTTCCCAAGAACTTCATTCTGTGAGCCTTTAGAAGCAAGAAGGAATTAGCAGGGCATGGATGGGAGCATGATCTGCCTGCAGCTGGACAAATCCAGGAGGTGGGGGTGGGAGGGGAGCAGGTATCAAACTACAGGAGGTGAATTAACAAGTGCCAGTTTCTTGTCACTTAACTTAGTGGTTTCTGCTGATCTTAGTATGTCCATGTGTGCTCACCATTGCATACTGCACACAAATATATATTTTGTTAGTGTATGTGTAGTGAAATCGTGATAAAAGTCCTTGTCTGTAGGTATGTGTGCCTGCATTTACATTTAGGTCTGCTGTATGTCCTGATCAAATTAAGTAGGCCAGAATCCGTCTTCATATAAACTATTAGGACAATCGGTCTGTGCTTTTGGTGAAGAGAATGTTTTAAGGCATTTCCAAAAAGTGCCCAAGCTACTGTCTCATCCATTGGTGTAAGACTGGAAAGCTGTCTGAAAGCCCATGGAAAAACAATTTTTGTGAGCAGATTGTGATAAGCATCTGGCTTGCTTACCCTCATCGGGAGAGTTTAAGGGGGCCGTGCTACAGGCACCTGGCCGGGCAGATGTGACGAGGGAAGGCAAGAAGAGTATATGGCGGTGTCAGACTGAGGAGTGCATTTGGGTATGCTTTTCACAGCTCCCCCATCTTTATCGTGCGTGGCCCTGTGGCTGCTCTTGAGTGTCCTCACAGGGAGACCAGCACAGCAGAAATATGCTATTGCTGGTGCCGCCTGCATGCTGAGACTTTGGTCTGGGTGTTCCCATGTGGGCTGTCTGCACCATGCCGTCGGTCTGTTGTGGAGGGAATCTCGCGGGAAGACTTGTGGCGGTGGGTTTGTCCCCACAGAAGCCCTGCAGCACAGAGGGAGCAGGGGGTGCTGGTACCATGCTCCCCATGGTTTCTATTGCCATAGGTCAGTGGCTGCTGTCACCTCAGGGTGTCTCCCGTGTTCCGGGATGCCTCCAAAGGGAGGGCAGGTCCTGGCCACGACGTTTGCTGCATTCCCCCGCGGTGACGGTGCCCTTGCCCTCCCCAGGTTCAGGCGATCTTGGTGCTTTCACTCTGCAGTGAATGCCACTTCTCCCTTCGTTGCAACCGTCACTTCGAATACAGCAAATCAGTAGCAATTAACTTAATGATGTTACTGAACTCAGTGCGTTGGCTCTGGTGAAGGTCCAGAGCCCACGGGTGACCAGGCCGCGGGTCCCTGCCGGGGGGACGGCCTAATGGGGGTCTGGGCTGGGTTCCTGGGCTGCAGTGCTGCCTGCTGTTCCGTGCGCTAATCCTGTGGAAATTAAAATCTGCTATAAAGTTATTTACAACCTGCTTTTAATTCCAGACAGAGAATCAATATTTTTCAACAGCCACAATGTTTCAAAGCCAGAATCCTCGTCTGTCTTAACAGCAGTAAGTACACTTGGTCTTTTCTCCTCTGGCGCGGCTGGAAAACTATTAGTCCTTTCTTGTCGAAGTGTTAGTAGCTAGTGACTCTCCTTCACAAGTTGTCTGCTTCTGTGTTGCAGGCTGAGGTCTGTTTGGTACAACGAGCCAGCATGACTGTGTCCCCCTCTGGTTTTCCTTACCGAGCTCCGGTGAGGAAGCACTGATGCAGCAGGGCTGTGCTGCTTGCCAGGCCTAAGCTTCCCAGACGTAATCTAAGCAAAGGGAAGAAGGAGGTTCTGAATGCAAATACCTGGCCTTTTCCTGTCCAGAGAGCTTAATAAGCATAAATCATCTTTCTAGGACTCAGTTCTGTGAGGAAAGACAAACAGTGAAAATTCAAGCAGAGAAATTTTTGTGTTGGGAGGGCCACAGAGGGCCAGTAGCTGTCTGCGGTGCGGGCACACCCGAGCTGTGACCACGGGACCATTTCTGGGTGTCTTCCGAGTCCAGCAGTGCCAGCACGCTGCACAGTTCCATGCTTGCCTTACCAGTCCTTTTTGATAAGCTTTGCACGTATGAAAACCAAGTAAAGTTCTCAGGCACTCAGCTGCTGTGAAAGTCGCTTTACAGGACTGGGTCCTTTCAATCTTTGAGTCTCCAGATTCCTTTCTGTTTCACAAGCTCTGCTGGGGAGTAGTTTCATGGTCAGCAGTGATTAAATTTGTGTGCAACACTGATGGGCATGCTAAATATTAAAGCTGTAATTGTGCTAGTCGTAAATCTCTTTATGGCCAAATTTACTTTCAGACTTTGAGAGAGTATATGCTTCTGTGGTTTACCTGCCATCTCTCATACACATGTACTCCATACTTCTGTAGACAGAACAGCATACTTCTGATGCTTAACCTGTTGTTTAAAAAGTGAAAAAAATTACATGCCCCAGTCATAAATAACCTGAGTTTTTCATACTGATTAATGTTTGTAGAATAACTTATACATGAAAACTTGTGTAAAAAGTATCCCATTTGAATTAGCCTCTGCCCTGAAGATACCAGCTGAGTTGTGTTGTATGGCTCAAAGGAAACTAAGAGCAGGAGTGTGGTTTACCAATCCTGTAACATAGGCCTTAATCTACATTGAAGTAGCAGAATGATATCCAGAATATTTGCAGCATAGGCTTAAACGTGCCAGCTATATTTGGTTTTTTAAGGTGTAGATCTAGTACATAAAATAGTGAGTCTGATTCTCCATTCATTCCTATACTGCTGTGTCTCTTGACGATCTACACCAGTATGAAGAGGAAGAACTAGGTGCTTTAGAGCAGGTGAACTCCCAATATAGGTAGGATTCTGAATTATGAAAGCAGTTTCTCTTTGGTGTCTTTTTCTGTTTCATGCCACCGGTTCTCTGCAATTAGATTTGGTGGATATGCACCTGGAAACCTCTGAAAATTAATCTTTCCACTAAAATGACTGTTTTAGAGTCCCTTAGTAATGTGTCTTTTTCTGCTACAGCTGGATAAAATCGAAGGAGTATATGAGCGGCCAAATGACGACGTCATCCGGGAAATCTCCAAGGCGCTGCGGCAAGCTCTGGGAGTTTCCCTCTTTGGAATTGATATCATCATTAACAATCAGACTGGTCAGCATGCGGTCATTGATATAAATGCATTCCCAGGTGAGAAAGGCCTTTCCACTCATGCTTGGTGGAAACCCTGCAGTGCCTGCTTAGTGTGAAGTTTTACTACTGCTGTCTCACATCATTGCTTCCCAGGTGGGGGACAGGAGAGCGGCAGCCAAATTGTTCTGAGAACAGATACTGTTTAATCTGGGAAGGGCAGAACCCTAATCTAGATACTGAATGTGCTGCTGGAATATTAGCTCATAGGAGATACTGTCAACTTTTAGTGGCCAGCTGTAACATGGCAGTTATGCTCTTCCCTGCAAAGGGATGCCAGGAGCTGAAGCATGGGACTGTGTGCTGGGGCCTGGTCTTTCTGGGCCTGTCCCCAATTCTGAAGATGAAAAGAAGAAGAAGAAGTTCTATTTTAGAAGAGCCTTTTAAGATATCTTTTTTTTTAGTTTCTGTGCCATTAAAAGTGTTGAGGGGGTGGAAGCAGCAAACTGTTCCCTTGAAAAATCTCTTCCTGTGCAAATTGATTCCCCATGAAAAGACATTTTGTGCACAGAAGCAACAACACCAAGAATCTGAAGAATATGTTAAAATTGTAGGTGCACAGAAGTTGCTGTAAAGGGTTAAATATACTTGCGGTTTCTCATAAGTGGATCCTGAACTAAAACAATAGACTAGAGCATGTCCGGTTTTTTTAGTGCAACACATGTCTTGGAAACAACTAAAGCTCCTTTAACACTGGGATTGTTAAAAAGAGTTCTAAGTGTGTGTAAAGGGAGGCGATAATGGTCTGTCACTTGTGCGAAATTCCATAGCCTAACACAGGAAGAGAATACATCATCTCCTTTGATGCTGTTTTGCATCAGGATTTTCTCTTTGAGAATCGCCTCTCATTACCTGAATAGTGATGTTTGTTTCCAGAGACATGCACAGGCTGTTACAGTTTGTTTAACCTGTCATTGAAGACTTTGAGTTCTCAATATGGCTGGGGTATCTTTACATCTCTAGATCTTGCCCTGAGCCACCAGTCTTCTTAATCTTTCAGTCTAGGTCCTCAATCCCACTGCTGCCCTGTGGCGCCTTGCCTGTCTATGTCCACAGTGACTGGTTTCCTTTTAACATTCCAGCCCTGCTATTCTCAGGTCACTTTGCAACTTGGTTCTGCCATACGTTGTCGACACAATCTGCACACCTATAAAACAGTCTTCTGCCAAGAGCAATGAAACAACCTAAATTGGGTGTCGGATGGAGCCAAATCAGGTTTATGAATGGGATTATATTTCAAACATTGGGTCTTGAAGTCAGTGATGCAGGATGTTCTTTTACAATCCTGCATGCTGCATTTTGGTTTGGTGTTTTGGGCTCTTTGTTTTTTCAAGTATCGTTTTGGATTTGGTACTTAGCGCAGACTGAAATTAACCTTTTCTTGAAATGTTGAGAAGTCCAGACTGGGGAACAATTAGTGGCAAACTTAACTGTTTAAAGAGGAGTAATGTCTTCTTGTGGCAGAAGTCTGCAGAACTGTCTTCAGGCTCGTGTTCTGCTGTACATCTGCTCTAAGGCAGTAGGTTTTGATATTCAGCCCAAGTCCTGTGTTTCAATCTGCACAGTAACTGGTCTTCAAAGAGACGATCAGTAGGATGTTTTAGTCCTTACAAGAGACGTGAGAGCACAGGGAATCTTCTTGTGCACAGGTCTACATTGTGTCTCACACAGGAATTTTTGGTGCTGAATGTGTGGGTAGTGAAGGTAGCTGCTGGCTTCATCACCATGGGATAGGTTGAAGACGAGTTGAAGAAAGTCTAGAGGATAGCAGCAGGGACCAGAGATATGGAAGAGAGAAGGCTGAGGATAGACAAAACAGCCTTCAAATTTGTAAAAGGTAGCAGAACTGAGAGAGATGAGCTGCTCTCAAGGGCTGCTGAGGTTGGAGAAGAAGCAGTGGGGTAAAATATAACAAAAGAAAAGTTACGTCTCAACAGAGAATACTCTGTTGCCCAAAAGTATATTCGGCTCTGGCAGCTGCATTTCACTCTGAGGGCCAGTATGATTAAAGGCTGAGCAGGTTCAAGGGCTGGTTCCATTGATGGAGTCAGCACCTTGCTAATGAGAAGTTCAAATTCAGTCCTGCTCAGAAGAGTCACTGATGGGCTGCATCAGCAGTGGGATCTCACTGTTGCTGTCTCGGTGCATTCACAGGAAGGGGCTTTCTCTTCCTCCTCTTCCTCAAGCCATCCTGTCCTGCAAGGGTTGCAGTAGAACCAAACTGGAGCCAAGTTAGACACTTCAGGGACCTGCTACTTTATCTCTGCAACACTCTTTTGGGGAAGGGAGGGGAAGAGGTTCCCTTTAAGGAGCGTTCACAGCCTCTTTCATGGAGCTCAAGCTACAGCTTGGGGCCAGGCCTGACCAAAGCTTTGTCCAATGACCCAGAGGCTGGGCTTCCCTATCTGCTGTCTTTTGTGTTTACCAGGCTTGAAGCTCATTTGAACCTGCCACTCCATGGATGTCATCCTGAGATTAGTTTAACATCAGAATTGAGAGCAGAGTACCTGTAGGAGGATGCCATCTGTTATCTGCTCCATTAACACCAGTAACTGTTTGAAAAGACTTTAAAAATAAATGTCTAAAAGGCCTATTGTGTCTCCTGTTCTATGGGAAACCACCAGGACTATATTTAGCTGTGGTTACCAGCTGAGATATTTAACTGTAGGCACAGTCACGTAGCATGTGGGTTTTATGTTTGTGTGACTTCAGATAACTGCAAAAAGGCTCTGCATAGCCTGCTGTCCTGTGGCTGTGGCTGAGCTCACCCCACCCAAGCAGCAGCTTCTGCGCACGTTCTGCAGCCTGTCACCAGTGCAGGTGAACTGCTGGTTCTTTGTGCAGATCTGTGGCAGCTGGGAGCATCAGATGTGAACATGCACTTTGTGTGTGTAAATATGCTGCCACAGATGCAGGACATGGGCTATCCATTTCTCTCTATCGAAGGGATGATGCAGAAAAGCAGAGAGTGTGCCGGATCAGGGCGAGTCTCCTAAAAATCAGGCAGGTAGCATCTCTTAATGCCAGCTTTAAAATGCTCATAGGCATTTCTTGACTCCACAAAGCTCAGGGGAGCAGGTACTTGCCTTTAGATGTGTTGCTGGGTGGACTTCCTTCCTATCCGTGTGCAGCCAGAGGACTCTGGAGACTGTTTTCAACATAGCAGAATTCAGGCCTCTTGTAGACAGACATTTGCAAAATGGTTTCAGTGGACAGTGCTAGGATGGTACCTGCTGGAGCACGGTTCCTGCAGCTTGTGCTCTGAAGCACACAAAACTTCTGTCCTCCCACCGATTCCTCGTGTGACATGAACCCCAATTTCATTGCCAATAGTTTCCAAAGGTGTAATTTAATCTGCCCTTTTTGATTTCCTTATCATCACCGCACGGTGATGTCCTACAGTTGCCTTTTTTGAGAGGTCTGCAGCAGCAGCCAGTGAACAGAGCAAGGCAATATCCACAGAGTTTGCAGCCTTCCCCAGGCATCCGCTGGCTCAAGAGTTGAGAGACCCTTATTGTCTTCCTCCCTTCCTTGTATATCTTTTTCACAAATGTGTGAAGTTTCTTCTGAGCAATCAGGCAGAATTATTTGGGCCTTTCCACCCACTGTGCAGAGAGCTTACAAAGAGGAAACCTGCCTGATACATACAGCTTCGTTACACTGTAACATCTGCTGATTTCAGGACTGATTAACTGGCCATCTTAGTCCCATTAAATATTTAAAGCAACTTCTTTGTGAGTTTGCCAGGTGCCCTCAAACAAGGCTGGTTTGTTTTCACTGAGCAGACACAAAACGCTCTAGGGTACTATGGATCTCCTCTCTGAATATTAAAGCTGTTACTATGGAGATGGCTTATTCCCGGGGTGTTTGAAGCACTCTGAGTAGATTTGAAGGCTAATCCCATGGCTTTTACATAAGCAAGAAAGCATAACGAGCACCTCTGTCAAAGAGGTGGAGATCTTGTTGTGGCTCCCATGACCAGCCGTAAGAGTCCTAGTTGCTGCCTGCCGACCGATGGATTATTGTGTGGGTCGCTGGGAAACTTCACATTTTGAAATAGCCAGTTTGCTTGGTGAATCTGTTTAAGGGCCTTTGAGAAGGGAAAACTGGGAGCTGTTGTCTCACATCGCGAGTGTTTTGCGTGACCTGCTAAGTACCTAGGAGGATTGTTACTGAGTGCAACAAAATCCAAGGCAATGCAGCAGCCTGAATGAGAGTTAATTGGTTAACGTATGGGTTATAAATACACCAGTCACTGCATTTATCTTAAGGTGAAATTATCCTCTTGCCTCATATTTTTCAGGAAGTTGGGGTTTTATTGCTGAAGGAAGTTGGGTCTTTACAGGGGAATGGAGATTAAAGTTGAATTATTTATGGATCTGAGGAACTCTTCTGCCCTGTGATCACATCATTAAAAGCGTTTTAAAGTGTGCGTTTACTTTGTGGGCTCTGATTCTGCTCATGTGCTGCTGTGTGCATGTGTGCCATTCACATGGGACTTTTAAACTGCTATTTATTCCTTCGGCCTCCTGTGTTAATACCAGGTCACCTTCAGAATACTTTCATAGACATTTTAAAACAATGAGCCTAGCCCATTAATTACACTGAATGTCATATGTTACGTCTAAATACAAAATCAAATCAATAACAATTTTAGGTAATTCAGTAGCAGTTAAGATCTATTTCAAGATGTTGCACCAATACATTGCATGTCTGGCTCAATTTTAAATTGAATGCAGTGATAAAACTGTACCTGTACCAGAGTGTTTAAAATAAAGCCAGAAGCTCTGTACACCTTCTGCCACCCTTTGTGTCACCAAAAATGCTTTGTCTCCTGGTATTCGAGCAACTGTTTTAACCAGGAAGCTTGTTGTTAGCTCTGCATTGTAAATTGTCTGGAATCAATTAACAGAACATGCAGAAAGTTGGTTTCAGTACTGAAATAAAAAATTGATATTTCTACCAAATACTGTGTCATTGATACGTCTTTACTGTCCCTCGAGTGTTTTTTCAGACATTGCTCATAGTGGGGAACAGGTTTGAAGTACCAGGTTAGGTTAGGTTAGACAAGCATCCCATTCCTTCTTACACAGTGGAAAGCTGCCTTTTCTGTAGGATATAGAGCCAGCCCCGCTGTCTTCTGAGGTTTCCCTGACCAAGGGGATTGTTCGACAAATTCTAGAGAGGGTCCAGACCCTCAAGGAAACTGCATTAGAGCTCGTTTCAGTAGTAAACCTGAAAACAGAATGGCAAAGATCAACGTTATACCACAGAGTTTGTAACTTAGGAAAAAACCTGGACTTGGCCACAAAGGATAGAATATACCTGAAATTATGTATACACGTACACACTTGGGAGGAAGAAGAAGCCGAAAATCTGAAAGGTGACAGTTTTTCTCATTGAAAAAAAGTATTTTTGTAGCAATGGTCTTTGTTCCTCTTTATGCTGATCTGCTCGTGCAGTCACTCAAAATGATGTCATGGAAAAGAAGCCTTTTTATTATCACTTGGAGGGCAAGGACAGCCCAAGAAATAAACTGGTAGAAGAAGCCTTTCAACGAACTTATGAAAATGACTTAATTGCCTTTTTTTCTCTCTTTCATTTTTCCTTTTTTCAGGTTATGAGGGTGTTTCCGAATTTTTCACAGATCTCCTGAACCACATAGCTGCTGTCCTGCAGGGTCAGGCACCTGAGGTGACCCAGCTAAACCGCAGCAAGCTCCTGGCAGAGCAGACCAGCGGGATCATGGACGAGCGGATATGCTGTGCCAGCACAGGCTGTCTCAGCGTCATGGGAAAAGACTCCTCCTGGCTTGTGGAAAGCGAGACCAACAGCTCAGTAAAACTGCAACACCAGAGACTAGGCTGCAACTCGGCAGTGTCCCCCAGCTTCCAGCAGCACTGCGTTGCTACGTTGGCAACAAAAGCTTCTTCTCAATAACTTGCCAACGCCGTGGACTGAGAAAAAGCCACAGGGATACAATTTGTGGTCCCAGAACCAGATCAGGCTGTAAAAATACATTTGCAAAAAAAGGAAAAAAAAAAAAACAACACAAAACACAACACAAAAAAGCAAAAGAAAAAACCTTTCCATTTGATTATACGTGATTTACTGATGAAATGGACTGGAAGGTGGAGGGCAAGAAAGTGATGCAGATCCATTTCATCAGATTCCAGTTGCAAATCTGTAGTGAGTTTACACACACGTGGGTTTTAACACTAGTCCTTTCGTTGTGGGAGGGTTGCTCTTTCATTTCTGTTGTTCTTTGTAATCACTGGTGACCAACATTTTAAAATCGGACCTCATGGTATCAGGAAGATGATAATGTTGGAATGCAGTGTCTGAATGTAACAGTGCTAGAGATTTTTGCTTAAAATATTCCCTGTTCCCTTTTTCCAGGTAGGCCATTGCAAAAGAAAGTTACGACAACTTCAGTATCACCAAACCAAATCTCTTGAAACATTGACGAGTCAAGATGTTGACAGGTGAAGCTGTGGCACTCTGAGTGGGGCAGAGCAAACTGGTTGTTCAGGGCGCAGAACCGAGGTGGCCACCCTGGTTCCAGCTTTGCAGTTCTTCCCCCAGGCCTCATTGTCGAAAGCAGCTTCTAACCATGCTTGGCAACAGCGACACGTGTTTTATCCAGGCAGGGTGCTGATAGTTAGGTTGAGTGATTTAGTAGATTAAATAGCATCCTTTCAGTCATCTGCTAGTGGTGAAATCCTGAAAGAGTTAATGAAAGCGGCTCATCTCTTAGCAGAGAATTTAATTCTCCCTCCATTGCACTTGTGAGGACTCTGGGACAGCTCTGCAGAAAGGCTGGTAAACAGAGCCACTCGTTTTTCTTGGAGCTGTGCAACCGATGTGCTGATGCTAAGGGGTGACACAGTTGCTGCCTTCCACAGATCCATGCTGCTGTGCGTTTTGTTTTTTGTGTGCAAATTAAATATAAGCAGAATTGCGTAACCTTTGTATGAGGTAGAAGTAGATGACAGCTCCAGCTTAGAGACCACATTATTTTGTTGCAAACTGTCAGATGAGGCTGTGCGGTAATTTGCAATAGTGCTTTATACTATTTGTAGACTATAGCACAGCCAAATTGTATCTGTTGAGATACCAATAAACTACAGCATTCACCCTCTGTCGCGTCTTCTAGCATGGGAGCATCTTCTGCTGTCGAGAATTCCTGAAACTTTTGCCAATTCTGAACACTAAACTGGAAATAACCAAGTCTGTCAGCACTGAGAACGGAGACACTATTTTGGTAGACAGAGTGGCCTTCCCTTCCCCATGTAAGCCCTAAAATACATTAAGAGGGGTGGTGTTAAGAAAATTTCCTTAGTTAAGCTCCTAGCTTGCAGATACGGGAATTTCTGTATTTCTATAGCAGGTATTTGTAAAGCATCCATCACTGCAACATTTAATACCAGTTTGTTTAGTATCATGTGTTAGATACCTACTGAAAAGGAAAGGATCTAGAGCTTAAAGCCCAGGTAGACTGTGGAGAGAGGACTAAACTCTGTAAAAGATGTCACCACCCTACCTGATGGTACCAGTCCTGGAGGGGAAAAAGTTTTGAAGAGTGTTGTGTAGCAGTTCATCTGTGTAAACAATGATTTTGCCTTAGAAGAGACTGTGTTTGTTCCCAAAATGCTATTGGGAATTTACTGTAGCCAGGATTGGGCTTTTGAGGATGAGTAAAGAAGAGATTATTCCACCTCTCGATGGCTTACTTCAAGATATTTCTGTAGGGACTGGAAGGACCTGATGAGCATGGTATCTGTCAAATGGCAGGGTGCACATAAATGCAGCCAACTTCGTAGACTATTGCAGATCAGTTCTGAGCTGGGCACGCTTCGCAACCCTTGGGTGCTTTGAGGCGGCTGGATCCCACGTCTGCAGCTCACACGTCTTGGGTGGTCATGATGTGAGCAGGTCAGGTGTACATAGGTAAGGGTTTATAAAAGTATTCATGATAGACCAAACCTTTCGTAAAGCCATGACTGAAATAAAATTGACATCTACAGTTTGGGGTTGTTTTTGTTTGTTTAAAATAAAAAATGTTTTTATGTTACGTGTGTAACAAAAGATACCCTCAGGAAGGAACTTGCCAGTGCATATTTTTGTACGGTACTTTCTTGTAACCAGCTGGTGGAGTGTTTGTGGGATTTCTGGTTTTTTTTATTGGGTGGTGTGGAAGAAGCAATGATGTTAGAACTGGGTTAGTAACTCGAGACCTTTCAAACTAAGTATGTTTACATGAATCTGAGTGTTGGATCCAATGGAAATGTCTGTATGCTGTTTCCTAGTTAGAACATCAAATAAGAATTTTATTTTCCTGGCTGCCTTCTGAATTTTGGTTGGCCTATTTTGCACTGCTTTATTTCTCCAAAATAAACTACTGAAATATAATTGTGCATTTTAAACTTGTTTACAAATGATTGTTAGAAGTTTATTTTGTAATTCTCTGAAGGCTTGCAGAAATACTATATTTAAATATTACTCCAGACCTTGGCAGTAACTAAAAAACAAGTTTAGGTCATTGGTGTGATCAGTGACATTTTTCCCATAGTCTGTAATTTATTTTTTATTTATCAAATGTGTCGGTATCACTTTAATTTACCAGGTGCAGATATGCAGGTACCTGTTGTGATGTGGCATTACAATAGAGTTTTCACATAAATTACCATGCAATTGCTGTACTACCATATTTTCTTGCAAAAAATATTGTTATGGCTCATATACTAGAATGTTGCTAAATCACAGGGGCAAATTGGGAGACCAACTTTTAAAAGCCAAAACTGTAAATTACCAAGTATCCAGACATACAATTACATTATTGCAAAACATTCGAGCATGCGTATGTTATTAAGCCTGTGCTAAAGTGCTTTTCTGAGTTGCTGCCTTGTTTGAGAAGTTCAGGATAGTTTTGATTTAAGATAAGCTTCACAGTACGTTGGTTAATATTCTGTAGTCTTGTCTTTTTCTGTTATAAATGTAGAGGAGTCTAGTAATATTAGACCATACCAGAATGCCCTTGCTCTTAAAATTGCAGACAATCTGAGGGAGATTTTCCATAATGTGTGTTTGAATTCTGTTAATTCTTTTACTGTGGGTTAGAAAAGGTCGTGCTGTGTTTTCTTGCTGTGCTGATGGGAGCAATTATATTATATTAAAATTACATGATCACCAGTTAGCTTCTTAGAGATCTGTTTCTGTTCTGCTTCACTGTTAGAAATCCACAAGAACACCATCAACTTGACTGGAATTTCTCTAGGTTTTGTGTCAGCGTGATGGAGGAGATGGGACTCTGGTTTTCACTGTAAGTGTGTCATCTGCTTCAGCAGGTAAAGATTTTTCCCTGTTGAAGAGAACTACAGTGGTATTATTACTGCCTGCGATGTAAAGCCATCACCATCCTCCTCCCCCTCTAGCTGACTTTGCCACGTTATGCTTGGGTTTGCAAGGACCTGTCTGTTTGTCCCAGAACATCCCCGTCATTACGTGAAAACCAGCTACAGAAGTGCAGCCTGACTGGGGCATCAGGGCCAACACTTGTGGTTTGCGTAACGCAGAACTGCCACGGGGCCGTTGCTGATTTGCCTTTGGTTACCCACACGTCTGGCTGTTCAACCTCTGCTGCAGGAGCCAGTTGACTGGGCTGGTCAGTAGTTAGGATGCGCTGTTTTTATTAATACTGTTCAGACTGTTGGAGTGAGAAGGCTGCTTAAAGATTCCCAACCTCAGCATGTGAATGTTTGTGCAGAGGAGGCCCGCAGCAGGTTGCTCAGATGGAAAACCACCAGTTTGATTTGTTTTCGTTATAGATGAGTACAAATCAAGAACCCAACCCTGAGGCTTCACAAGGTAATGAGAATTGCTCAAGATAAATCCTCCAGATTAACCGTGGGCTGTATCCAGCCGAGGAAGAACCGGGAGGAGTAGTGGGTAGGTAACAGGGGCAGGATACAGTCCAAAGGCAACAGAAAAAGTGGGGCCAGAGGTGTTTGAATTGTCTGTCAAAAAGGAGGGAAACAAAGGAAAAGTGCTTCTGTACTTTCTATCCAATACAAAAAAATCCAGGCTTACCAGTTCTTAGACTAGCACTGGTTTCCCAGAGTCTCTGCGTGGCAGCAGTGACAAGTGAGTCAGGCTTTTTCACACCAGCTTGCAGCCTTGCCTTCCACAGCTGTGCAGAAAATCTTCGATTTTGGTTTTTTAGTGACTAGAGTCTAATTTGGGTTTGTAGCAGTCTCCCCATGTGCACGCTTGCAGGAGTTCACTTGTGTTACCCTGCTAGTTTTCTTTTCCTCTCTCCTTTTGAGTAGGAGAAGTATTGATTTCTGTATTCAGTATACAATTACTTTATGGTGTTGCAACTGTATGTTTTGTAATTAGGAGTATGTGAAAATGCTTTGTGTAGATTAAAATATTTACTTTAATATAATCTCTCGCTTTCATAGGTGAACAGACACACTGTTGCAGATCACGTTGCTGATTTTATTTGTAATATTGCTTTAATACCTATTTCAGAGGAATGTAACCTCCAGAAAAGTACTTTCCACATCTTCACTGCCTTTCCTTTCCCTGTTCACTATGTGTGGATCCAGACCATCAGCCCTTGAGCTTTTGACCAGATGGGTTTCAGATCCTCCTTGGATTCTGTCTTGTTTACATGGCCACAGGATTTATTAAAGATTGTTGACTCTTGAGAGGATCCAGGTATAAATGGAGAGGTTAGAGCGATTCCCTGGCAACACAAGCACAATAGCATCCGTAGCAAGCAAAGGGAATCGTTCTCGCTATGCATGTGGAGGTGGCTGTTGGGGTCTGGTCCACCCCTGCTGCTGGGGCAGTTTTCCTGTGGAAGAAAAAAATCCACTGTAAGAAAACATCCTGTATCTGATGCAGAAGGGGGGTGAGGAGAGCTAGGGCTTGAGAGTAAAATCCTGGCAGTGGCCGTCGTGCTGCCAGTGCGCCAGGATTTCACTCCCCCATTTTTAACAGCAGTCTGGGGAGATATTTTCTCTTTCTCTCCGCCCTTCTCACCCTGAGTCCACTGGGGGGACGCCAGCAGATGCCGGTGGGCCACAAGAGCCCATTAGTGGGTGGCCTTGCCCAGCATGCCATGAGTTTGCAGAGAGCTTCCGATGTGTTCAGAAGTTTTTGTTGATGGCCTGGAAGTCTCCTGGAAACTCCAGAAACAGCTGAAATAGCAAATGGAGTTCATGAAAATCAGGTCTTCCTCCTCCATCCTTTTTAAAGAAATCCACATTCTGTTTCTCCTTCATTCTTTACACAGTAGTTTTTAGATATAAATTATTTTAACAGTTTTTTGTGTGAAAAGTCATATATACATATATGAAGTTATTAAGAGGTTGAGTATATGTTGAGTATAAAATAGTGACTTCTTTGTTTCAGATGTTAGCAGCCCCTAAAAATGAATTGTTTATCCTCTTGTAAAGTCAGTGCTGTAAAAAAATATTAAAAATAAAAGATGTATTAGATGTATCTTTTATTATTTATTTCTGATTCAGTATTCGATACAGCTTGTGTATACTTTGTGAGAACCACACACTAAAATGCAGTCATTTTTAAAATGGAGTAACAACAATTCCTTGGGATCCCAACAGTGCTGAAAAAACTGGGCCTCCGGGTGTGAATAGTGTTGAATATCGTCCCTCACTCTCCAGCGTCGCTCCCCACCTAAGCATGGCTGAACCTTGGGGACCACTTTGTGTATGTGCTAAGTTTTGCAAGCTCATCGATACCTGTGTTCAGATCCAGCTGTACAGTGTTAACAAGTGTGTCTGGTGATGCGCTTCAGCCTGGTTTACTATGATTTCTGAAACATAATTCCCATTTTGTACTTAAATTTGTATAGAGTCATATGAACCCTTAAAAGATCACGGCTTACTGTAAAAACCAAAAACACTTGCTATTTGGTGTCTTACTTCAATTGCATGACTGATCAGATCTGACAGTGAAGATGGGTGCTTTCATCTAGCAGCATTGATTTCAGTGGTAATATATTCATTTTCTTTTCATTTGGCAGGCACCTGTTTTGGACGATGTTTTGGTTTCGACAGTAAAGCAATATGCAGTAGGTATTGTGGCATTATCTGTGTAATTCTTTTGAAGACAGAATTGTCCCTTTCCAACACGTAATGAAAATAAATGCCTTATAACAAATTCTACTTTGCTTTCTCTTTATGAGCAGATAGGGCAGCGAGGTGAGCAGCTCATTGTGGGGAGCCCGTTTTGATGAGGATTTGGTTTTCACATCCTTCCTCAGTGCAGTTGTTTGCGTTTAGTTTAGACCTCCTTGTACCAGCAAGATTTGATTTGGTTTCCCTTCCAACACTGGTGGGATGTCGGCTGTTTTTGTGCTACCACATAACACAGCTAAACATCGCTGGGATTCAGGCTACTGCTGTGCTGAAGAATTGATTCCTGGCATAGGCTTGTGGACTGATTCTTCCTTCCTCTTTCCCCGTAGGGAATTCTTGATCGCTCCAACCCTAGCAGGGTTTGTAATCAGGGTGAGGTGAGGGACACTGCAGCGCGGAGCCGCAGCCGGTCTGAGGGCTGGCATCGACGAGCTGGTGAGGCAGCCTGCCAGGCCCCGGGCCCGGGCCTCGAGCTCCGACTTTCCTTTGAAGAAAGTGCTTGGGTCCCAAATGTTTGTGATTACTGCATTACCCAGTTAAGGCGGCGTTTGTAGCAGCTCCATCAAGTAATGCGGTTTTCCCTCGTGTTGGTTTTGTAGCAGCAATGGACAAGTTCTGCCTGCTGCCGCCATCCTGCGTGGAAAAACTTGGGTCTAACTCTGTGGGAGATGGCTGTGTTTCTGTGGTGGGTTGTTTGGTTCCTTGGGGTTGGTTTGGTCTCTTGGTTTGGGGGGTATTTTCATATTGGCGAGGGTGGGGTGGGTGGCTGAGGGTTTCTGTGAATTTGTTGTGACATGCAGATCTGAGTTTGCAAGCGGTTGTATGGGTGATGCTACTGGCCGAGATGCTGCGGCAAAAAAAAAAGAGGAACTAAGTACAATATTCAAATTAAAATTTAAATGAAGTATGTAAAATGTGACTTTTACAGCTGCGTTAACTCCCTAATCACTGGCGTTTGAGTACTGTTTCCATGGAGCAGCTTTGGTTCCCTGAGGTTGGTGAGGGTGTGATCTCCTCGGGATGGGGTTGGCAGACTTGCGCCTCGCCCCAGCTCCTGCCCTGTGCCGGGGCCACTTCTGGGCTGTGCCTTGGCCTCGCCGCCTCCTCCCAGCGCCGTGCGGCGGCCGGGGCTGGAGGCGAGGGGACCCTGCCCGCTCTGCAGCCCCCTGCCCCCCTGGGGAAGCTCGCCGGGGGCCGGAGGAGGCCGGCTCTGGACACCCACCACCCCCCGCACAAGGGGACCCCGCATGACCGCCCCCATGGCTTTTTTTTCCCTCTCCTGCTGATACACATAGAAGGTCTAAAACCTTATGGTCGGTGTTCAGAGACTTTTGAGGCCAGCTTCCCCCGTCCTAGCACCACACGGTGCTCCGGCTGGCGTGCAGCCTGAAGCCCAGAGCATGGGGAAGGTTACTCTGATAGTGCTGTGCCGGCAGGCCACCACGGCTCCTGCACAGGAGGGACGTCCTCTCAGAACCGCGCTTCACCTCTGAGGGAACACAGACCGGTAGTTTCCCTCACGACGAGCCGATCTGGTACTTTTTTTGGTCTTTAGCCCACTTGTGCATTGTCCAGATAGCTTTACTCGGTCAAGTGTTGCCCCAGTGTTTAAATTTCTAAACTGGTTTCCCTCTGGTCAACCCCATGTTGATCGATGAACTGTGGATGTGACCGCGTCTCAGTGAAGCACCCAGGACACCCAGCACCGGGGCGGGCAGGGAGAGCCCCACAGGGCTCGGGGCCTCGGGCAGGCGTCCTCGGTGCCGGGCCTTGGCAGGCAGCAGCGCTGGAGTCCAGTCGGGAGGGAGACGCCACCACGACATGTCTGAGGTGAGGACAGGCCGCCATTCCCCCCACCAACCCTCCGCCAGGACCGTGCAGCCCTGCAGCGTGCTGACAACTGCGACTGAAGCTGCCGGAATAAAGGAAGGAACCCACTGCATTTTTATTTTTCCTTAGATAAATTTTTTATATAGAATATATTACAGTCAGAGTTTTCAGTTTTTAATCAAAAGATAACAAGTTATTGCAGTTTTTTATCCAGTGAAACTACCGGTGGAAGGAGAACTTTCTAGAAAGCTGTCTTGTCTTTTAAAAAAAAGAGGGAAAAAACCCCCACCCAGACAGAAAATACACTTGTGGGTCGCGCTTCGCGCCCACCGGCGCCCAGCTGGGCGGGTGGTCATCCGTGTGGACAGGGGAGCGTGAGGTGAAGAAGCGGCGATGGGCACAACACTACGGCGAGGGAGGCAGGCCTGGGCGCTAGCGAGGTCAGCTTCCTAGGCACGATGCTTCTGCTCCGGCTTAGTTGCTTTTAAATCGGGAAATGGAAACGCGGTGGTGAGGAGGAGGGCGGCTTTCGCCTGCGTGGGGAGGGCTGGGGCCCTCAGCCTCGCCGCAGCTCGTGCAGCTTGTGGGCGACGCGCTCCAGCTCAGCCTCGATGGCGGCCAGGCTCTCCAGCTCCTGGTCCTGCAACGAGAGCCCAAGACACGTGTCAACCTCATGGCCACAGGCTGCCCTCACCCCCAGAGCTACAGAAAGCCTTGCCTGGGGCTAGTTGTTGTTGGTGGTGCATGGAGTTTGCGTGGCAAGGTTTTGGTAGCTGGTGACTACAGGGGTGGCTTCCATGAGAAGCTGCCAGAAGCTTCCCCCATGTCTGATAGAGCCAGTGCC